ATTCTAATGTATGGGTCAGAAATTTGGGCAGATGAACTAACAAATGACACAAATAACCTAGAGCAAGTTTGTAATAATTATTATCGTTTTATTCTTGGTGTTAGTAAATTTACAATTTGTATTAGAAAATGAAATGAAAAACTTCAGCCAACGTAGAGTGTTAGCAAAGTTCAGGCTCAGTGACCACTACCTTGGAATTGAATTGGGAAGAAAGAGTAAACCAAAAACCCCAGAAAAAGAAAGAACTTGCAAAAAAATGCAATTCAGATGAAATTGAAGATGAAATGCATTTCATCTTAGATTGCATTTTTTATGAAGTAGAGAGAAAACATGTCTTGAAGTATTTTAAAATAAAAATTAATGAGTTGTCCAGAATGGAAAGCTTCGTGAAAATAATGGGAAATAATTTGGCTTTGTCATATTATTTAAAAAAATACAATTTTCTAAAAGTTGAATATGTAACTGTGGTCTGGGAGAACCTTGCTGCTGTTTAATCAATTTTTCTGAGATTTTCTAATTTTTATTTCTTTCTTTTGTTGAATTTCAGTGTACATGTATTTTATTTTTAGTGTTTTAGTGTAATTTCAGTTGTAATTTTATTAACATTTTCAGTAACAACCATATTTGTAGATCACAGCTGTTTCTACCATATCAGGCCAGCCCCGGCTGCCTCAATGCTAACCTGTCATGTAGTTGCAGCTTCTGCTGTCTTTACCGGTAATTGCAGCTTCCGCTGCCTTTTCCAGTAACACATAACATCACACAGTTTCAGCTTCCGCTGTCTCTGCAAATAACACAACCAGTAGGTACAGCTTCCGCGGTATCCTACCCCTCAATTCGTACTAATGACTAACCTATTAACCTGCAGCTTCTGCTGCACTAACCAGTTTATCTTTTATTATTGCTTGTATTTTTATAGTCTTTATTACAGAGTTTTACTTTAGAGTGTTTTGTTACATTTGTATTTTCATTTACTCAGCCAGCAACAATTTGGTGTTGCCCAGTTTTATCATTTACAAGGTCTGTTACTTTTCCTACCAGTAGCTAGTGAAAGCTACTACTTTCACGTTTGGGAGCCCGCTGGGAAATTTGATCTAAGCTATGTATTTTGACTGATCCCAGCAGCGGGCTCCCCTGTTGTTTGCCAAATAAAGTACCTTTACCAATTTTATATGTTGTGTCATAAATTTGTCTTTTGTAATCATTTTTTACCTTACTAAACCCACAGATGGTTAATTTGCATAATAAAGTTATTATTATTAAAGTTACAGTATGATTGATATTTAGTTATCAGTTTGATTTTGTAATAATATGAGGTTATTACGAGGATACCTCAAAGTATGCACGAAGACAGTGCAGCAGAGGTCGATGCGACAGTGTACTGTCTGAGTGCATACTTTGCAGTATCCTTGTAATGAACCTATTATTATACATCTTTTCCTTCCAAAGATACACCATGGGAATGCTGAAATCCAAAATGTTTAGAATAGAATCAGCAAACTTCTTTGTGTGGAGTCCGGTCATATCCTGGTGGCAGCCATGTTTGTTTTTATCATTAGAGGTCGTAATCATTCCATATTTGGAATTTGCATTTCCTTATATGGTAGGATGAAAATAACCCGTAAAATACCACAAAATTACGGCATGCTGTAATTTATGGCGTTACGGTGACAGTTGTATAATAATAAATATATATTTCTATATGTGGGCACAGCTGATTATAACTTCAAGGAGGTTTATACCAAAATAAAGATTCAATCCCCCATATAGTACTATGTCATGTTTGCTGACAGTCAACCGAAATAAAATGAAATCACGTGAAAAAGCATGTACATGTATATAGAAGTTGATAATTTGAGCTGTGTATATGAAGACACAAGTCAATAACGAATTCTGTTCAAAAGCAGATGGAAATCAAGACAATTAAATTCAGTCAGTGTCCGTCCGTCCTTAAAGGGCGACAGTCGTTTCGCTGTGCATGTGCAACATTTGTGTTGATAAACATTGATTTTCCCACAATCCAATGCGCTCCTGTAATGGAAATTACAAGTATGAGGTTTGACCTGAGCGCGACTTGCACTAATTACCACCGGTGACTCCTTCGATACCTTTGATGCCTTCCAATCACCTAATTAAAGCTTGGTAACATCTCAGTTTGTACTCGTTGATCTGTGCAACAGTCAAGTTGTCATCTTTGTTTATACATTTGTATGAGACCCATATATCTTGTGCATGCGTGGTGCGACAACTATCATTAACAGCATTTTTGTAGATTAAATTACATACAAAATACAAAATAATACAAAAATTAAATACTCAGAAATAATTATTTCATTTTTTAAGCATTCTGCTCCACTATGACATTCATGTCTTGTTAAAACAGTGACTGATTCAGTTTTAAATATTAATCAATGAAGATTCTCATAACGGATGCTATTCAATGAATAACCTTATTAAAGCCTAATACCATTCAATGAATGTGATCCTCTTCATAACCAAACAATATTCAATGAACATCTTTATCATAACTAAATACCATTCAATGAATATCAATATTATAATAAAAATACAATTCAATGCTGATTCTCGTCATAACTAAGTGCCATTCAATGGAGATCCTCGTCATTATTCAATGAAGATATTTGTCATCACCAAATAATATTCAATCAAGATTGTCATCCTAAACAAATACCATTCAATGAAGATGATCCTCATCATAACTAAATTATATTCAATTGAAATTCCCTCCCATGATGCATTGCACATACGCTCTTAGTATATAAATGTTTGAGGGCTGCATTCACTTCATCATCATAGAGGTTGGGCGCATACGCACAATTTCCAAGTCATTGTGTGGTTCTAAAAACCATGAATAGTTTTCTATTAAAAGATAATTATTGTACTTTAGCATAATGACTAAATAGTTAATACAGGATTGATTGATGGCTGACAATTATTCAATGAAAAAATGAGAACAATACACTTGTAATCATTTATTGAAAATTTACAGTAGAAAAATGAATACATTAAAAGTAAAACACAAAAATAGATGTGAAAATAGGTTTGTAAGATAGTGGCCACAGTACAAAAATTCTATTTTTTTTTAAATTTGACGAGATTTTGCTCAGGAAGAAAATTTAGTTTTGATCTAAATAGTACGCCCTCACGCGGTCGAAAACTGCCAGGAATGCATTAATTTATTCCAACATGGCGTCCATAATGTAAATTGACGAAGAGATCTGCTGGTATTTCAGGTCCATTTATTGGGAAAATCATTCGCCGACGGTCGATTTCGTGCGATTCGTTTTACACATATACATCGTAAGTAACCGTAAAATATATTTTACTTCATCAATATGTTGCCTTCTTCTTAAAATCATCGGCGTATTGTTTTTTTTTCCCGGGGTCAACTTTGGGTTGGTCGGGGCCGATGACACTAAACTCGACAAAGACACGGAATTCATTGAAAAAAAAAACGTTGTTGTTCAGTATCTCGCTTCACGGTTAAGTCTTGTCAATAATACATTATTGCGAATTTACATACATTAATCATGTTCAGAATAGAACACTGTCGATGAGCTTGGTGACAAGTTTATAGTCGAAAAATCGAATACAATATTCCAATTTTGGATATTTGGATGAAAGTGTAGGAAGACCGCGTTGTTCTGCCCCGTATTCAACCACCTTCTCATTGCATTCATTTCCTTTTGTCGAAACAAAACATAGATTATTGCGAAATATCTACTCAATACAAGAAGTATTTGAGTCTGATGTGAGTGAAGCCATGGAGCTTATATTCGCAAATACAAAAACACATGTTTTTTGAATTGTATTTACTCATGATATCTCTCAATGATGACCTCGATGTCCACATACGGCAGAACATGCACACATCAATGTTATTGTTTAGGTCAACAACAAAAACGACAGAAAAAAAACAACGTCAAATTGATGCTCAGGACTGTTGTCTGGTAAACATGTACCTGCACAGCATGTTTATAATTTCATCCATGTTGTTCAGTGAGTAAATCATGATTCCTGTCTATACTGGTACTGCTTTCATTCATATATCCGTTCTGGGTTCTGTGACATAACGCATACATTTCACACACACACACACATAATTTCTCACCTGCTGAGATGAGCAAGATCTACTTTCCAACATTTTTTTTCTCTTGATAATAACCTAGTTTTGAAAACCACTTTGAATGCCTACATAATTACTGATATGGGTTGTGCCTGTCTGCTACCAGCAAAGCTGTTACATGTACATGTATTGCATTACACAGTCCATTTGATACTGTTTGGCACCAGACTTTCATTGTGTTTGAAACCGTACCACAAAATATTTTTTTTTATTTGTTCATGTTATTTATTTTTTCATTTCCTTTTAAGGTGTTGACTATTTGAAATTGGGGGGTTGGGGGTGCAATTCATCATGATCTTTACAAAAATATTTAGTGCAGCGCCAATTGTAAAAAACAAAACTACTACAGGGAAGACAAAAATATATTTATAATAAAATGTATACAGGTACATTTTATAATGGAAGGAAGCACAAAATAAAATGTTCGTCATCATTTTGAAAAGAAAATCCAAAATTCAAAATTAAGCTTGTTTGGGCAACAAATTTTAAAAGGCAAAAGCAGAACAGTAGTGTTGTATAGATTATCAACGACTCGATTTGAGTCAGAAAACCTATCTTTATTTTGGTATACTGTAAAATGATTAATTTTCACTGGGTTTAAATTTCACTGATTGACCATTTCAGGCATATTCAGTGGGTTTTAAATTCACGGTTTCGTCATTTAGATAATGTGTTCTATGCTAAATTTTACATATTCACTGGGTTTTAATTTAGCACATTTTCCAGTCAGCGAAATAAGCTAAATTAAAACCCAGTGAATAATTACCCCCTTTACAGTATACTGTTAGGCTACCAATTATAAAAAAATGTTAGCTCTGGTACAGGGATTAGTCACGTACAGTGTGAGAAAGTATGTACATGATTGACATTTGGAGACAGATTTACTCAAATTGTGAAAGTTCCCTAAAAATGGCACTAAAATCAAACTAAATTTTCTCAAGAATAATTGTGTACTGTTAAACAGAAAATTCCACAATTTTTTCATGACACTGATAAATATGTGACACAAGTGTTCATTCACCCCAGGAAAATATCATAGCATATTGGAAATATTTGCATAACAAAAAAAGAATATGTAAAAAAAATTGTATGAATTGTTAGGATAATGATGCTTGTTGTTGTCCAAAATTATATAATGGGTGGGGCCTACATGTACTCTATTAATGCTCAGAGGAGAACCCTGGATACGTCACGACATCATCCATTAATCCTCAATAAAACTTTGGAAAATAGTTTTAAATGATGTTAAATTCAGATTCACCTATCATATCATACAATGTACATGTATGGTGTTAATGCATTGACAGCCATGGTGTGAATATCATACCAGCAAAACAAATTGTTTTAATTGTCTGTTGTGCAGGCTTGTGGTTTATATATAAATACATGTATATATACTGTAAAACACATTGAAATAGCTACATATTATTTTAGGGAATTTGACTCAATACATGAATAAACAAAATCTCAATTTAGCTAAAATGCCAACAATCTCATTGCGAGAATATACTTTATTCTAAATTAGTGAAATGTTGAATTGGCGAAATTACAGGTTAGCTAAATTAGCTAAAATAACATGCTATATCTATCTACAATGTGTATATGTATAGATATGTGTATACAATTTAGATGTAAATAATAATAAAAACATTGTCTTTAGTTCTGACTCGTTACAATGTATGACATATTAGTAAAGCTGAAAAAGTTGTTTATTTTGGCTTCTTCATCTTATTATTGACAGTTTTCATCAAAAAATAATACTTGTTTGTGAATCTAAGTGACTATATAGCTTTCAAAAATAAAACCAATATCATAATCACAGCTCTAAGTCTAAGGTCAAAAAAATGTTTCTGGTAAATTTGTTTTCTAAAAATCCTGGCAGCTTTTTATTTTATTCTATTCTGAAATTGTCAAATTTATTATTTTTCATGAAAACTGCTTTATTTATTGTTTCTAAAAATTCTGGCAAAACAGCCCTAATACATGTTAAGCACACCCAAGACACTGATGTAAACACATGAATATGAGGTTAATACGAGGATACCTTAAAGTATGCACGGAGACAGTACAGCAGGAGTATCCTCATAATAATCTTATTATTATACATCTTTGCCTTCCAAGGATACATCATGGGAATGCCGTAATCCAAAAAGTTGAGAACAGAGTCAGCGAACTTCTTTGTGTAAGTTTGGTAAACGCTGATGGCAGCCATGTTTGTGTTTATTATTAGAGAACGCTTACGCACGTAATCATTCCATTCTTGAAATTTGCATTTCCTTATATGGTAGGATGAAAATACACTGTAAAATTACGCACGCTGTAACTTGTGCCATTACGGTGACATGTGTATAATAATATTTATTATTAATCTGCTTATATTTTTTGGTAGCATACTTATTGTTGCCATGATTAGAATGTGTGTGTAGTAGTTATATGGTGAGGAATGTAGACTAGTGCGTTAAAATCTGCTCCAAGAATAATTCCACTATGCCCTAAGGTGATATAGCTATTGGTTCTTAGATGTGGTTATCTTTGCCAGAATATGACTAGTATTTATTGTTCCTTGCAAACTATGAATTCACATTTGTTGTGTGTGATTTTATAATCAGTGTTGGTGTCTTATCGAGTCAGTTTAGAGTGTTTTTAACTGTTTGATAATATGGTTGCGTGTCTATTCAATTACCATGGTAGATATTCAACTTGCTGTAAAACCATTAATTTTCACTATTTTGATATTTTGAGTATATTCACTGGGTTTTTTAGTTTTATGAATTTGGCAGAGAAACGATATATTGTTATTCTACGTGTTCACTTCAATTTAATTTATCCGATTTTTCTTGCATGCATCAGTGAAAATAGGAAAATTAAGACCCATTGAATAATTAATGCATTTACAAGTATACAAATACTGTAAAATGACTTAATTTTCACTGGGTTTAAATTTCGCTGATTTACCATTTCAGGCATATTCAGTGGGTTTTAAATTCACGGTTTTATCATTTAGATAATGTGTTCTATGCTCAATTTTCACATTCACTGGGTTTTAATTTAGTGCATTTTCCATATTCAGTGAAATAAGCAAAATTAAAACCCAGTGAATATTTAATCTTTTCACAGTATTTTAAGTATGTTTATACTGTCAACTAATGATTTACTGTCACTGGCAGATGACAACACTGGGCTAATAATTCTTCAGACATTTATTTTTTCTGTCAATCGACAGTCAGTCCCTCTTCCTCATTTAATTCAAGTTGTGAAATCACTTTTGATGTACTACAAATTATTAGTAAAACTACTGTAAATGCATTAATTATTCACTGTATTTTAATTTTGCTATTTTCGCTGATAAGTCTTTACTTTACTAAATTAAATCTATGTGAACATGTCAAATATTAATAAAACTCATTGTTTTCTTGACAAAATCGTGAAATTAAAACACAGTGAATATGCTCAACACATCAAAATAGTGAAACTAAATGGTTTTACAGTATTACGTACATTCAAATCTGTGTTAGTAACTTTGTGCCTGTCAGTTTTACATTTCTACATGTATTACCAAAACAATAGATATTTGCTGCTCCATAAAATAAAGTTGTTTCAGCACTCATTGCAAAACATATCAGCATTAATTTGAACATTCAAATATTCCACCAATTTAAAGGAAAAATACATGTAACATCACATGGATATCGACTCATTTAAGGTTATTGATGTCACCTTTTCTTCATTTACATTAGACATAGATACACTGTAGCAAATGACGAAAATACTGTAAAACATGTCTTTTTCACGAGCATGTCTTTTTAGCGAATTTAGCAAGAGAACTGATTTGCTAATTCAAGATGTCGCTAATGACTTTATCATAAATTCAAAATGGCCAAGGCTTGGGGATTTGTAAACAGTAATCTGGAATATAAAAATCTGGGGCGACTCCTAATTACACTTGACAGTTTTTCTTTGTTTTTATGGAGGTGATAACTGCGCATTTGTTTTGACACGCAACAGACAAGTATTGTGAAAACAGGAAATCAACAATGACAATAGAGATTCGCTAAATCAATATTTCGCTATTACGTCATTTTACCACAATTCGCTAAAATTGCATGTCGCATTTTCAACATGTTTTACAGTATTATCCTGTCACTGAACACAAATGTTTGCAAAGCATAAAACG